TGGCGCACAATTCCGCTTCACTTCATTTATTACTGCAATTCTTGGGTTTCTTAATGTTTGCGTCAGCCACATGTGTTTAATAGTTCTGACAGTTATGGTTTGTAGATGCGTTAGGGTTTGAACGTTTTATTTGGCTTGAAAGATTGGGGTTCTATCTAAGTCAGCTGTATCACGTTATGCAGCTGAACTGAACCGGTCGATGTCGATGTACGAACTACCAGCAACGAGAAAGTGATTTCAGCAGTCAACTTTCCTACCAATTTGCATTTCTCGCTTACTTTAAACAATTCATTTATTTTACAGAATTTGAATATGGTTTTTATATTGCAAAACTAATCACTTTTGTAGCTTCCCTTGAAATTAATTCACCCTGATGTAATTGATATGGCTGAGTTTAAGCATTTGACAAACTGAAAAGGGCTAACCTGCATCATAGATGCCTTCAAGAAAGTACATTGGAATAATATAGGCGAAAATGTGAAGTCTGCCTGTTTTTTCCTGGTAGGAGTAGGCGATTATGTATCCTACAGCATTACAAGTAGTCGAGGAGATGGGAATAGTCCACTTCCACCGTTCAATTTATGCAAGTTTTTCTTTATAAAAAAGTATATGGGATCAACGAGCGTGAATATAACGTGACATACTTGCTGGATTTTTTTATGAGTCGTTCTCATTTGATTTTTTTTTGAAGGATTTCGATGACTCAAGATGTTCGTCTCGAAATCGGAGCATGTCCGAGTGCTATTTTGCTGTTCGCGGTGCTGCTGTAGTCCTGCCTCATGGGTGAGTTTTTTTTTTTAAATTTCATTTGCACGGATTTTTTACATCATTGCTTTTTCGAGGTTTTATAATAGTGAAGTAAGAAATTAGAGTGAAACTCTTATATGGAACTTGCTTTTCAAACGGGTGACTAACACAAAACGGAACAGATTTGATTCGTAAACTTCATAATCTCTCAGTTGTATTGTATAAGGAATATTTTGCCTGCATGAATAGATTCAGCTTAGGCATATTTCGCGGACGATTTAAGTGAAGGTGGACTTTCCTAATCAGCGTGTCAACGATTTCCTGTATTCTAGTCTAGTTCGAATGTACTTCTCTTCGAATGTTATGAAAAGCATTTTGATAACATAACAGTTTAGCAGATTCAAGCTATCTACTTTTCTTCTGAAGCGATCAGAAATGAATGCAATTATACTTTTTTTCAAAACTCTCGTTCAGAGATAATTCTCCCACCTGCTCCCATGGTTCTGCAAATGGAGCTGAAATCGAAGGCCATCTTCAACTAATGCTCAGGAGTTTACGCCCGCAAGATAAAATGAGCATGGCTGTTCGCCTTCAAACTCAGGTTAATCTTTCGTGCTTCCCTTCTGTTTTGCCGAGACATATTTCATAACATGAACACAGTGGCTTCAACAATGCAATGGTTAAGTAGTCACCTGCTGTGACATCTGGAATTGTTCACTCTCGCGGGAATACAGTATCTTCAGAATCGTGTTGTTTGATGTGGCCTGCGTTGGATTAATCTTTTTTTGTTGTACTACCTGACCAGGGTCAATTCGAGATTCTCGGCTTGAGCACATGTTGCACTATCGTCGATTATATCAAAATCTTGTTTTTTTTTTGTTTTCAAACCCTCGCGAAAGACAGCTTTAAGTCACACTATGCGGTTAAGATGGAGTAGTATCGTCTTGGTGAAGTTATTTAGTACCTCCTGTCCCATATAGGTTTTCAGCACTCCATGTTGAGTTTAATCACCCGAGCTATTACTGGTTGTCAACATATGCGTGAGCGGCCCAGGAATGCTTGATTAGGTACAGCTGAATTGGTAAATGAGAGTTAGACACGACAATAAATGAAAATGTTTTAAAAGTTTGTAAACAGGATGGGTGGGGAAGGCTAAGTTCCTCTTGTACAAGTGAAACAAGGAAGGTGCTGCGTAGTTTTAATCGCAAGCGAGTAAGGGAGAGCCCTGGGAATGCCTTCTGGTTTAATGGTTTGCAATAAACGTAAGGAGTGAAGTGAATAGTGAAAGTGGGGAGGGGGAAA